TTTAATTTTTAATAGTGGAGATGAGATTTTTAAGCAAAAATCTTTCATTTTGGTGCCAATTAACAGATCAATATAACGCTGAAAGTGGAGATGGGTGGGCCAGACGCTCCGGAGGGATCCAAGCAAACCCTCGAATGGAATCCTCAAGGCAAAAGGAAACGAGGCTGCCCAAAACAGACCTGGCAACGAAGCATCATTGCAGGCGAAAGAAGCTGGTGGGATATTAACAGAGGAGCCCAAGACCGATCAGGCTAGTTTTCTGGAATGCATGCCCTCTGCCCCACTTGGGGGACATAGTACTTTAAGTAGTATTCTTTCTTTTTACAGGATAAGAGGTTAATGATAAGAAGACACACAAAATATCCATTTAATACTTTGCGATAAACTGAGCCCTTCGTGGGCCCCACTATCACGTGAATGTCGAGGCTATTCAACTTCTTGACACCACGGGCCTAGTGAGAAGACTGAAAAAGACAAAACCATTTGAACTAGTGAATTAGTGTTAGTGCACGTCAGTACTAAATACACTGTGAGTGAAAGAAAAAAATAGAACACAAGAACAGAGTGTCTTCCCTTTAATAGAGACTGTAAGTAGTGTTATTGGACACTTTCTTATGTAAAAATCCTTATTAGTAAACTAGGTTAGACTTAAATTACTTATTAGTCTTTAGTTAGGCTAGATTGTAATGTTCCATGATGTCTTAGTAAAGACACATGTATTAAAAAAATACTTTGCGATAGCCCTTATAACCACTCAACTTGTATGGTGACCAAACTTTTACAATTTATACATAATCTTTATTGCTAGACACCCCTGCTACTTATATTGCTAGCCTTGTCTATGACCAGTGCAACGTGTATAAATGTCTCAACAACATTGGATGGTACGGGTATTAAATTGAATTGCAACTATTACGGCAGAACCGTTAATGTGGCAACCCTGAGGGCTATGCATCCCGACCAGTACACCCCACTTGTCCCCCTTTCGAATATTAGTTTTAATTACTTTCTAAATACCAACTGCTTATTTTCCATTTTGCCTCCGTTTTAAGTTAACAGAAACTTGCCAAGTTTGTTATGGTTCGTAATATAAGGTTTTGGTTAATTATAAAGAAAAAAACATTAATTTTATTAAAGCCTACATACATACAAAAGAGAAATACAAAAACACATTTAAAAATAGGCCCAACTAAACAGCTGTAGCCAGCAACACTGATCTTCAGTGGGCCCATTATAAATAACAATCTTATATGTTGTATATGTCGCAGTGAAGTAGTTAAATCAGAGAGTTAATTGAATCTCTACATATTTTATTAAAGATCGATATTCAATCAATTCGCTAAAGTTCCGTCAGACATGTGACTTCTTTCTTATTAATAATCTGGAAGGAAGATTTCTGGATTACCCCACCAAATCTTTTTATTAATATTATTCACCAAATAAATGTTATTTCTACCTATGCACCTTAATTGAAGGAGTTACCTGCATTTAAGATAATTTCACTGTAAACAACGTATGTATCCATATATAATCACCGCCACTATCACTTTAAATCACCGTCAACATATTATAGCATCTTAAGGGCTAAGGATACATAACATCGGTCAGTACAGACGTGTGGGGAAATGGAAAAGGCATTAGCGGATATGTCAGCAGCCATCACGCTGAGTGCTGTATTGTAAATAAATAGTTCTTTCTCGGCTCATGTTACAAATACATTTATCGCTAGTTTACACGAGTTTAATGGAAAGTAGGATATGATGCCGGTTTTTGTTAAATTATTTTAGCCAAAGACCTGATTAGTGACTACACCTGCAGTATATAATATATATAAGATGGGTCGAGAAGAACTCTAACGAGAAAGTCTTTAATCGAGTTGGAATGTCGAAAAAACTTAAGCAGAACATTAAACAATGGAAAGTTGCGTACCTAGGTTACGTGTTGCGCCATGACCACCATCTCCTTCAATTAATTAAAATGGGTAAACGGAAAAGATCATGGCATCATAACGTTAGGGAGTGGACGGGTATTGCGACTGCTGCAGAGTTTCTGCAACTAGCACAGGGCAAGACATGCTTCACGAGACTGACAATAAACCTAACACATCAAAAAACAAAGAAGAGATTCAAGTGAATTCGCTTCGAATATCGAATGTTATTAATTCAATCTATTAGATTTAACTGACTACTCCGTATAATTTTGTGTTATAGCGATACAAACTGTGGGAATTTGTAACACTAGCGGCTGCTCTGACTTCGGACTTGTCGTACGCTAACACTAACAAATATCTGATTACTTCATTAGCATAATATTTAAGTAGCTCCCAGTCCAGTAGGTACAATTAGGTTATGACAACATCTAGAGATCAGCCTTGCGGTTCTGTAACTAACTTTTCGAACAGTCACAGCGGTTTTCACAGCGGCGGTTGCGCTCAAATCAGTCGTAAAAAGTGCTTTAGCTCAAATCAGTAGTAAAAACTGCTGTGAGTCCCTTGCGGTCTCAATGTTAGGATTGACAAAAACATGGGAGGACTGAAAAGAGCAGCGTTACAGTAGTTGAACTACGAACGTACCAAACTAAGATGATTGTAGAAATTATTCATTAGTTAAGAAATATAGAAAGAACTATCTAGCTATATAGAAATGAATTGCTGTTCGTTTGTCTTCGTAAAACTCGAGAATGACTGGACCGATTTGGCTAAATATGATCCTGAAATATTTGGGGAAGTTCAGGGAAGTTTTAATAAAATAAATAAATTCCTTTATTTGCCAAGATAGTGGTACAAAATAAAAAAACGGTGGAAAACATAAAAAATAAGTTAAAAAAATACTAAAAACGGCAATTGAATTTTCCAATAAAAACTGTATGTCTTTTTATTGTTACTTGGTTGTCATAGATTCATAGATGCCTTCAAAAATTTGTGTTACATACTGTAAGTGTGAGGTTATTTGGTGTGTTTGAAAAATTTGTATTAAGTTTTGAAACAAATATATGTAGGTGATACAAAGTTCACCGGGTAGTACATAATAAAAAAGACGTTTAGTTAAAAAGTATATTAAAATTAAACGTACAGATGTTAACCGATTTTTATTATATGGATAGATTTCATTTAACGATAAATTCAATTAAGCTCAATATAGCTGGTTTTTTCACCATCAAGTTTCGTTGCTGTCATAAAATTTTATTTGCTCATGCATTTTTATCGCATTACGAATATAAACGCATGTATCATATTTCCTCAATGGTATGGACATAAAAGTGTATTGTTTTGATCATTATATAGTTTTACATAGGACCCTTAATAGCCTATCAGGCAGATCTGTAGCCGAGGGCAGAGCAGGGGAGTGTCACTTCTCCCATTTCCTTACAAGGGACTTCATTTGTTTAAACGATTTAGGATAACATCTTGTGGAAACCGGCTTGCCTTAGACCCAAAATAGTTGACGGCGTGTGTCAGGCACAGGAGGCTGATCACCTGTCAATCTAATAGGCAAGTAGACCTGACAGTTGACACACGCCGAGGATTCTTTTGGGTCTTAGGCAACCCACGAGGTTTCCCTTCACCGTTCGAGCGAATATTAAATGCGAATAGAAGGAAAGTCCATTAGTGCTCAGACGGGGACAAAACCTACGAACTCATGGATGAGAGTCGCGCGCATAAGCCACTAGGCCAAAACTGCTCGGGAAATTCGAGAATGAGAAATTACAATAAAAATACTTAATATTTATATACTTTAACCATTCATATTATAAGTATTCAATGAGGTAACTCATAATCTAGTACTACTCATACCAAGACAAATATGTAATAAGGCTGAATATTTTTTGCGAAAATGAAGGTGTTTAATGCAAGCGCAGGCGCACGGTTGCCGCGCTCCATTAAGTTTTCTTAAAACAAATGAGTAACTTGCATCTTATTTCTGGGCACGTCTAACCCCTTGAATATGCACGCTGCATGTAATTAAGTGATTTTTTAAATCAACGCAGATTAAAAATGTTCTTTTATGTAGCAACACTGACAAATTCTTATCCGTAGTGTTCGCGTCAGCAGTATTGCCCTAGTTCAGTCATGGGCAAAGTACGGCCCGCGGGCAAAGTGCGGCCCTCGGGCTAGTCTGATCCGGCCCGCGACACGATTTTGATTAACCCCTAAAATTAATTGCACATAGGAAGTGATAATTTTTTTTGTGCAGCTATAATAGTTAACGGGAGCCTTAGGTATGGTATTATCGCATCTAACACTAACTGAGTTTGCATCGCGTGTTTTCTTTCCGTAGAAAATGTATGTATATCGGTAGTATGGCGATTTAGTGCGATGCGTGTGGCCTGTCCTGTGGATCGTTCGGTGTTGCTCGGTCAAGTCGGGATGAATCGGCGGTAGCAATATTGTTTTGTAAAGATTAATCATTTTTTGTGATTTGTTTGGAAGTTTTTACCATTTTAGTATATAAGTTGTGTATGATGTAAAATTAAACAATAAAAAGGTTTAGGCCTATAACTTGTATTTTTTTTTTTTGGCCCGCCTGTAAATTTTTAAATTTCATCTGGCCCACCTTTTAAAAAGTTTGCCCATCACTGCCCTAGTTGCATCAGCGTGCGACTCTCATCCCTGAGGTTGTAGGTTCGATCCCCGGCTGTGCAGAAATTAACTTTCTTTCCATGTGCGCATTTAACATTTGCTCAAACGGTGAAGGAATACATCGAGAGGAAACCGGCTTGCCTTAGATCCAAAAAGTCGACGGCGTGTGTCAGGCACAGGAGGCTGATCACCTTGCCTATTAGATTGGTAAATTGTAGCGCCACTGATTTTTTTTTATTTTAGTGTTCGTGTCAAATCTTTTATTGCACAGTTGACGAAGTCACTGATTACTAACAAATAAAAAAATTTTTTTTTTTTTTTTTAAAGTTTTAAAAGCATTGCTAATAAAAGATATACCTTATTTTTATTAAAGCCTGTCGACATCTACTGCTGTACATATGCTCCTTCCTTAAATTTCCAGTAACAGTTCCCTCCAGCCTCACCAGGTCATCTATGGGCAGGCCGTCCAACCCTTCGCCGACCGATCCACAGCTTCTCCATTGTCCTTGGGTTCTTCGGACAATGTGCCCCGATCATTTGAGCTTATACGTTAATTAATTTAATTCTGGAATAAATTTATTAAAAGCTATATATGTATAGCAATTTTTTGAAGTTAATATATATGTATACAAAATTTCTCTTATTATAATATTTATTGTACCCAAAGAACGGTCCGGAATTTTAACTTAAAATAATAAGCCGCGTAAATATATATTCTTAGCATGAAGAATAGTACACAATTTACAGTCGTTAATTAAAAATTAGTTAGACTGCCTAATAACTAATGCCTTAAAAGTTCACAAAGTACAAACACTAGCTAAGAAATTATAAAATTGAGTACGCCGTAACTAATAAATAAAACTGACTCATATTCAAGATGCGTCTAGCATAACCCAAGCAAAACAAAAAAGTAAGTATCAAATGTGACGATCGGCGGATTTAAATATTTTGGATAAATAAATAAAATAAAATAAAAAGCCTTTATTGTTGTGCTTAAAATTAATTTACTTATGACTACTATCTAAAAAACATTTTGACAGAGAGTTTTTGAGAGTTTAACTAATACACTTTTTATATCTATTGATTATCGGCAAACGGTAGTTCAGTTACAACTTGTCTTCCGACAACTGCCTCCTCTAAAGCTCCAGTCTTTTCTCATTTTTGCAGTGCGAGTCCATGTTGAACCCGCTATTTTCTTAACGTCATCCTATCTTCTCTATGTCCCATTCCGTCTAAAGGTCATTCTGTGATAAGTTTTGTCCATTTTTCTCTCATCATATGCCCTGTCCACTTCAGCTGTTTGTATGTTGTGATGTCTATTAATTTTCTCGGTCTTTTCTTTTGATATTTTGGAACACCCTCCACAAAATGTATAAAATTAAGAATATATATTTCGAAAACAATAAAGTTCTTTCATACTACGCCTTTCCCTTTTATAATTAATTATATAAAGCATTTAATTAGCGATTTATTTCCTTATAGTTATCTTGTTGAGCTGTTTAATGTTTATGTGACTTATTTGGAATAAATTGAAAACAAAGTAATTGATATGATAACTCCTTATAAGGGTTATTTTGTAAGTAAATCAACTTTATGTATGTCAAATGTGTTTATTTCTGTTAAATCAAAATTTATTACACTTATGAACGTCAATGTTAAAAGAAAGATCTATATATATAAAAGAAAAATGGTCTAAACCACTGATCCTATCGAACACCATTTCCTAATGTATGTATTTATTTATTAAATCCAATTCTTATTTTTTTTTTTATTTTATAAAATTTATAGATGGAAACATTCGGACTAAATCAAACGTAAATTAAAAACCGGATTTTGAAATATTTCAATTTTCTTACGGGAAGTTAAAAGAAGAATAATAAAAATATGAAAAAAATAAAATAATGAAACATAAAATTTATTTTAATTCGTCCAGCAAAGCAGGCGCGAAACGGCTATCTATATATATACCTAAATCAAGGCCGTAGAACGGGCGAACAGAACTGGCAAGAAACTCTCTGCCAATCTTTATACAATCTACTATCTACGTGATGGGTGGTGGGCAACCCAAGTGTTCTCCAAGAACTCGGATCCTTTGTACCTAGGGGACATGGACACGGCAAAGGCCAAGGGCCATGTTGCACATATCCATTAACAAAGACGGTTACTGAATGCTGTCTCCGACACTGTCGACATCTTTATATGTTCGCAGAGTGTATCTTAGAGAGTATCTTATGTATTTAATATTATATTTTTGTTTTGTTTTCGACGTCGTATTGGTTTATTATTGTTAGGGTAGTCAATGTATTTTTTGTGAATAAATAATAAAATTTCATTATTTTCCTTTCCATCCTTATTCATAAGAACTTCATGTGTCTAACAGTACTCTATTCATTAAAGTACTGTTTCGTCTTTCTCTACCACATAGTGTTTACGCTGTGTACAGATGTAAACTTTGGTTAAAATTGTGCAATAAGACCAATTTAGTTTTTATAAATTCAGGGGATGGATATCGGTTCGCTTTCTATGGAAATGTTTTAGACGAATTTGTCAGATGCCTTTAAATGTTTTTTTTTATTTCCCGAAAATAAATAAACAACGATTTTGTGCACCAAAACCACACATGGAGCCACGAGAGTCTCTTCATCTCCTAGTATTAAAAATATTATAAATCGAAATTGTATAATTTCTTTAACTCTGGTAGTTCATAAATAAATCTTGGGATATAAATGTATAGCTACTTGATTGAATTTGAAAAAAAATTAACAAAAAAGATGTTTAAACTCAAACTCAAACTCAAAACTCAAACTCAAAATATCTTTATTCAAGTAGGTAACCAAGTACACTTTTGAATCGTCAAGTTAAATTAATCGTAAATTTACATTTACTACCAGTTCGCAAGTCAAGAGCGGGTAAGAAGAACTGGCAAGAAACTTTCCGCCACTCTTTTTAATCGCCAAGTATTGTCATACAAATTGTTTGAACTGGAGCAATTCAATCCCAAGGATTAGGATCATTTAAGTAGTCCTCAAATTTATAAAAAGCTTTGTTGATTAATTTTCGTTTAACGAGGGCTTTGAATTTATTTAGTGATAATTCTCTAATTTCGCTTGGGAGCTTGTTGTAAAAACGATTACAATTTCCATATAAGGAGTGGTTTATCTTTTGGAGCCTGGTTGGTCGTACACTCAAATTAGTTCTATTTCGCGTATTATACTGGTGAAAGTCACCATTTGTTTTAAAATCGTTTATATTTTTTTGGACATACAACAAGGCTTCAAGAATATATTGACCAGATAGTGTCATAATATTTAATTCCTTAAACTTATTCCGTACCGACTCCCTCGGAGAAACACAACAAATACCCCGAACAGCCCGCTTCTGCAGCACAAATATGGATTGAACCTCTGCAGCAGCACCCCACAGTAAAATGCCGTACGACATAACGCTATGAAAGTAGCTATGGTACACAATTTTAGCCGTGTCCTCATCAGTAAACTGTCGGATTTTCTTTACTGCATATGCTGCAGAGCTCAGCCTATTCGAAAGAGTCTCTATGTGTGGGCCCCATTGGAGTTTACTATCTATTGTTATGCCTAGAAAAACAGTTTTGTCAACAAAGTTTAGTTCACTGTCCTTAATTTTCAGGTTACCAATATCTCGCTTTACGCTAGTAGTTGTAAATCTAATACATTTTGTTTTATTCTCATTAAGCAATAAGTTATTTACATTAAACCAGTTAACTATACGAGAGATAGAATTGTTTACATCGTCCAATAATACGTTATTCCTATTCACTTTAAATAGAAGTGAAGTGTCATCAGCAAACAATACCATCTCATGAACTTCGTTGACAAAGAATGGGAGGTCATTTATGTAAATCAGAAATAAGAAAGGCCCGAGAATCGATCCTTGGGGGACGCCCATTGATACCTGCGAACCCGGAGAGGTGACTCCATTGACATGAACTCTTTGGATCCTTCCCTTTAAATATGAATTCATCAGGCTGGAAGCTTTGCCATCAACGCCATAGTGTTGAAGCCAACGAGTTTTACTTAGCCTTTGACTTGCGAACTGGTAGTAAATGTAAATTCACGATTAATTTAATGACGTTCAAAAGTGTATTGGTTACCTACTTGAATAAAGATATTTTGAGTTTGAGTTTGAGTTTGAGTTTGAGTATATCAGGATGAACACAGTCAAAGGCCTTTGACAGGTCACAAAAGACGCCGACTCCATCATATGATTCTTCCCAGGCGTTAAATATGTCCGAAATCAACTTCACACCGGCATCGATTGTGGAGCGACCCTTAGTGAAACCATACTTTTTATTATGTAAGAGTTTATTTTTATTAAAATGTAAAGAAAGCTGGTCTAGCATTATCTTTTCAAAAACTTTGCTCAACGCAGGGAGCACGGAAACAGGTCTGAAGTTTGACGGATCAGACTCACTACCGGCCTTGAACAACGGTGTAATCTTACTTAATTTCATTTCGTCCGGAAAGACTCCACAATCGATACATCTGTTAAAAATTATAGACAATTCAGAGCTTATTACATTAATAACGGAATTTAAAATGACTGTTGACATACCCCATATATCTTTACTTTTTTTTAAATTAATAAGCTTAAAAGTTTTAACGATATCATTACAAGTTATATGTTTAAACTGAAATTTAATATTACATTCAGGTACACATTTTTCTAGCAATGAGATCGCAGCAGCAGGTGAAGAATCTAGGGACTTGGTCGTATTTAGTGGTACATTTGTAAAGAACTCTTCAAAAGAAGAAGCTACCTCTGGGTCAGATTTTATTAACTTCCCTTTAACTTTTAACATATAATCAGTTCGTTTGTCAGACGTTTTACCTGATTCTTCATTTATTATTTTCCAGGTAGCTTTTACTTTATCCATGCTATTTTTTATTTTTGAACTTAAATATTGAGACTTTGCAGTTTTGCAATCTTTTTTGAAATTATTTGAATACAACCTAACATATTCCCTAAATTCCACACTAGTGTTATATTGCATTTCGTCATAGATTTCATATAATTTTAACCTTTTCCTGTGTAACTCCTCATTTGCCCAGTCACAGAAACTTGTTTTCTCAGAGACCAATAAAGTCTTTTGAGTAAATACTTTCTTGAATTCATCAATAAATGATCCAAAAAAAGTATTGTATAAATTATTAGGGGATGAGTTGCCACACAGAAATGGCATTCTATAGACCAATGCTTCTCTAAATCTGTCCAAACGGTCATTTGTAATAGGAGTTATCACAATTTTCTTCTTTTTACATGTTTTTTGTTTCCTTAATTGGAATTCAAACCATTGACCAGTGTGATCAGATTTAAATCTATTGAAAATACAAACATTCAAAGGGGCTATGTCACTATATATATTATCTATACAAGTTGCGGTGCTAGCTGTTATTCTTGTGGGTGAATGAAATTGATTTATTAAATTGTATGAACGAAAAAGACTAAGTATGCGTACACTTGAATTAGAATGACAAAGTAAATTGACATTAAAGTCCCCACACACAATTAGCCCTTT